TGGAATTCATGAAATTTAAAGATGAGTATAGAGATCACTCTGTTTTAACTTATATACTTCCAGAAGATTTCAATGAAAATCTTATGATATTAACTGAAAAGATTTCGAATTATTTTCTTGAATATAAGAAAAATTATGGGCCTATTCCATGGGAAGTCAACCAAAAAAACACAAAGTATTTAAAAAATTTTCTTTTTCTTCAAGTTTTGTGGAGCTTTTTTTTCTGATCATTTTGGTAAAAAAAAGTTGAGTACTTCCTATAAAAATAGAAAAGTTATGATCGAAATACTAAACAGCCTAAAATGCCTAAAAAGGCATTTTTTCAAAATTTTTTAAAGTAGAGTAATTCGTTACGTGTGGTGTTTGCTCTACATTTTTTCAACGAATTCTAATTAAAATTACATATTCTTGTAGCCCAAGTGTCAAGGTACAAGAATTGCTGGTTCTGAGGCTATTTTTTTAACCAAATTGTTGACTGTTTAATCGAAAACAACCAGTGAGTGACTACAGAAAAGTCAATTAGCATTATCCAAAATGGCTATATTCTACGAGAATGTGCTATACTGTGTTTTGTAGAGCATCGTCTCCTCTACAACACCCTATATTTAGTTTCTCGTATACTCTTGAATAACTTTCACAAATCCGGGCGAAACATAACTTACTGCATTCTCAATAATAAAATGAGGGTATATCGGGGGGATGCAAATCCCTTTTATTCAAATGCGATCTCCGGTTTTTGATGGAGCCGTTAGAACTTTCAATTTCAAGTATTTTGGTAAAAAAGTTCTTTTGAAAAGCTTTTGTTTTCGTGGAGATAAACCCAAAATATTGTAGGCACTAAAAACCAAAAACCCTCAAAATATGATTTTTTCCTTATAAGTTATAGAAAAAGCTTTTCATAGCTTTTCTTCCGTCAAACAAGGTCGCAAAGAAAAACCAAGAGCATATTCAGATTCCTCGTGAAACGGTGCATTGGTGGATACTAAAATTTACTGTAGTTTTCATAAAATCACTACGATTTTTGGTAGTGTAGGCAAAATAGTTCCATAATGTGGAATGGCCGTTAGTCAGTGGGAACAAATATTAGTTATCTTTTTCATAAAAATTGAAGTAGATTTTAGTATCCTCCGATGCGCCGTTTCACGAGGAATCTGAATATGCTCTTTGTTTTTCTTTGCGACCTTGTTTGACGGAAGAAAAGCTATGAAAACCTTATTCTACAACTTCTAACGAAAAAATCATATTTTTAGGGTTTATGGTTTTTAGTGCCTACAATATTTTGGGTTATCTCCACGAAAACAAAACCTGTTCTAAAGAATTCTTTTATCAAAATACTTGAATTTGAAAGCTCTAACAGCTTCATCAAAAACTGGAGGTTGCATTTGAATAAAATGGATTTGCATCCCCCCGATATACCCTCATTTTATTATTGAGAATGCAGCAAATTATGTTTCGTCCGGATTTGGGAAAGTTATTCAAGAGTATACGAGAAACTAAATATAGGATGTTGTAGAGGAGACGATGCTCTACAAAACATAGTATAGCACATTCTCGTAGAATATAGCCATTTTGGATAATGCTAATTGACTTTTCTGTAGTCACTCACTGGTTGTTTTCGATTAAACAGTCAACAATGTGGTTAAAAAAATAGCCTCAGAACCAGCAATTCTTGTACCTTGACACTTGGGCTACAAGAATATGTAATTTTAATTAGAATTCGTTGGAAAAATGTAGAGCAAATACCACATACAACGGATTACTCTGCTTTAAAAAATTTTGAAAAAATGCATTTTTAGGCATTTTAGGCTGTTTAGTATTTCGATCATAACTTTTCTATTTTTATAGGAAGTACTCAACTTTTTTTTACCAAAATGATCAGAAAAAACAGCTCTACAAAACTTGAGGAAAAAGAAAATTTTTTAAATACTTTGTGTTTTTTGTGGTTGACTTCCCATGGAATAGGCCTACTACATTTTTCTTATAAGGAAATAAAGCTTTTTTCATTCGCTTTTAAATAGAATTCCGAACTTGCTATGTAATTAAGGATAACATGCAAGATAATTTTTTTTTCTCACAGTAATCTACTTTGATCATTTCGAAAACTTTGAAATATGCAATTTGTTGCATAATCTATCTTAATAGAAATAATAAATGATTCACATGAAGACGAATATTGGAGTTAGAATCAATATTTTGCTTACTTTGCAGGAAAAGTATAACATTGATTGTATGACTGATAATCGCATGATATATGAATAATTGGAATGAATAACACATGTGCAAAGATGATTGTTCTTGACTCTCTCGGGTCAAATATTGGACTTCCCCTTACATACAGTCACTACATCTAAACATAGTTATGTAAAAGAGACAAGCGAATGTTTTCTTTCGATATGACGATGATATCAACTTTCATTCATTCGGAGTACTCTCCTACTACCATCAATCGAAAGCAATGATAATTACATTTTACTCTATAATCTATTCTCCATTCGATTTTACTTACGATGAGAATTTCCATTGACTACACTTATTATAATTATCTTGATTATGTATTCTCATATTAGGATTGAATACTTCAACTTTTCTGACTAAGCAAGATTCTAAGACGAACACTTGCTGTTCAAACGACTCTATTTGATAGTTCTAAAAGTAATAAACCTTTCTGATTCGATCAACCTCTTCTATACTCTGTAAGGTTTTATTATATTTCGTTTTATTCCACACATTTCTATGTGGAAGGCTTTCGATGTGNTTTGATTTGAACTTGAACTGTAACAATCGAGTTTTCGAAAACCGATTAGCAAGGCTTTTTAAATAAAACGATGAATACTAATTGTATGAAATTTAAGTGAAGTCTAAGTCAGACAAATCGGAACTCACTAACTCAGCATAGATAAATCGTCGTTTATTTAAACTGATCTATATCATATTTTGGTAGCAATTGAATCCAAATATTTTCTTTTATTTATGTTGAAATAAATCAAATCATTGAGTATAGTCTTGTGTTTATTGTTTCGTTTTGTTATTTATGATGGACAAGAACCATTCTCATCGCATTGCATCCTCATTGAATTAAATCGAAAACCTTGTGTACATGAACGCATTATGGCAACTGTATTGACACACTGGAAATATCGACCGAATTTACAATTAACCAAATCGTCAAATAAACCCGAATGAGAACATGTAAAATAATCTGTACAACAGAAAAAGAGATTACTGATAAGATGATACATGTTTTTTTTTCTCTTTTACGTCTTTCACAATATCGTCCACTGAAACCAGGCGGACATTGACAATAAGCAAAGATTGAAGCACCAAGTCTTCGCTCTTCACATACACCACCATTTTGGCAAAGATTAAATTGGCATGTACCTGGTATACCTATATATTACAATAACAAGTAAACTAGATATATGAAATAATTTCAATAATATCTACCAATCAATTCACAATTCGAACCAGAAAAACCTATTAATAAAATGTACTCATGTTATTTTTTCGTTCCTATATTTTAAAATTTCTATACCATTTAAACACCAACATTGTGCTTCAATTCCATTATTAGCTGTAGGCACAGGATTACAAACACCACCATTAACACAAGTTATTTTTCGGCAAAGTTCTTGACCTATACAGACAATATTAATAAAAAATGGAAAAAAAAGTTACCATACCAATCGAGGTTCCACATTGGAGTCCTGTGAAACCAGGTTGACAAATACATGTAGCTGTTGCGACATTATAAACACCTAAATTCTCTCAAAATAAAATATAATTTGAATACTAAGATCTTTTCCTACTACCATTATGACATTGGATAGGCAATAAAGTAGAAGCAACAGTTGAAGTTGAAGTTGTTGTTGGAGTTGGAGTTGGAGTTGTTGTTATAGTTGTTGGTAGAATAACACCTGAGCATGGCTCTGGAACAACATAATTATATGTACCACTCGTACATGCACAAGCATAAAATGAACTTTGGAACAATTCTGCTTCAATACAAACTCCATTTGAACCACATTGAACATTATCACAAACACCTAGAGATTTTTAACCAAATCATTAGAGTTCAAATCTTGAAAAAATATTTCTTACGACATGGAACATTTTTTCGTCCTTGTCCATTAGGACATGTACAAATAACATTAGGTTCATTTAATAATTGAATACAGTTATACTTAGGTGGTGTGAAATAACCACCTAGTTGACAAGGATTTGTATTACATTGAACTAGAAATAAATAATAAAAGTAAAAATTACTGAAGAGTATAATTTTTTCTTAACCTGCAAAAGAGTTTTTCGCTATTGTAAAAATTAGGATTATGAAAAGAATTATGGAGAGCATATTTCCAATGTGTTATTGATGCCAACACACGTATATAATTGTCAAAAGAAATATTTGAGTTTAAAAAAAACAACAACTGTTTTCACATCATATTTAAATTCAGATCGAATATCTGTGTGATTAACATGATCAAATATTTTTTAAACATAATTTATGTTACTTTGATGTGTATCAAATAATTCCTCCTATTAACTTTGTATATGAAATTTTGTTTATGATTCGAAGACGAGACATCAAAAAAAAAACATGGTATTAATAACCACAAAGCAAAATAAAAAATTTCAAAGTCTTTTTTTCTCAACAAAACTATGAAATGTAACAAAATAATTTGATCGTTTGTTCAAAAATTCATATTCGACAAGCATATAAATAAAATATTACTTTTTTACGCTACAGAAAACCTCATAAATGTTCAATTACCTATTACAGTTTATAGTATTCAACGAATTGATATAATCCAGATCTAAGCTATTATAAACGTCATTTTCTTTTTCCTTTTTATTCTTATGATCTATATTTCTAATTACGATTGAGATTCTCCATCATACTATCCAATATTTTTATCTGTGTCAAAATGTTTACGTTGCCAATTTTATATCATTTACACTAATTCTAGCGTCTGGCGGGAACAATTTCTTTTGGTTCTATTTCTCACGAAAATCGAGAACGAGAATAGTATTAGAAATAGAGCGTGCCCGAAAATTGTTTATCTTTGTTTCTATATGCATTGAAATATTTTTATGAAAAACAAATGTCGAGATTTATCTTTCAGCAATCGAATATCGAGTTGATCTGAACTTTTATTTTTATTTGAAAAAGCAAAGGTTGGAAATTGAAATACATCAACATGGTTAATAATTTTACTTCCACTTTATTTTGATGAACATCGAACACGGAGTAGCGTTCAACATATTTCTGCAATCTGTTTTGTTTTTGAGTATTTTCGATCGCTGACTTCACGATTATTTTACTTGCCTTAAACTTTGAGTTAGACATATCTAGGAATACATCTTTTAAACTGCTATTCTTCGATCTATTTGTGAATTAGTTTTTCTTTTATTATATTTTCGATAAGAAAATTCGCTTTCATAATATTTTTTTCACTAGAATATCAGTTTGGTAAAAATTGTGAAAGAGAAAAAAATAGCGAGCCTGTAAAAGTTCTAAAATTTATGTCTTTGATAAAGTTAGTTTAGCTCTATCTAACATTATATTCTGGTTATAATACGTAGGCATTGAAGTGAATGTGAATGTTAAATAAATATTTACGAATATTACAACAGTTAATTTTTAAGATCTTTACTCTTTCAAAACATTCTTCCAAAGGTTTTTTGCATCGTTTATTAATTAACAGAAAAATAGCAAATATCTTTCAAGAAAAATTAGACAAGTTCATTCAGTGTTCATTAAATTATAATTCAATTAGTACATCTAATATTGTCTTTGTTATTGTCATCATCGAAAGGATTATTAATCAAATTACCTTGCAATATAGTGCTATTATTATATTCTCCTCTGAAAAGACTAGTATTGTTTTTTTCTTTCTAATTGTTTAATTGATGAAGAGAATAATTCTTTTAACTTAACGTTGAGAAATTTCAATGTAAAGATAATAATTAATTTATATAACTAAAATTTACTTCGAACAATAATTTTTTTTTTAGATTAAACTTATCTGATATTGCACAAATGGTATGCCATCAACAAAAGCTAGTATCTGAATATAAGATGATCGAATTTTATTAGAATTGAAAGTGTGATTGATCAGTACAACAATCTTATATGAAGTCATACTCTCTTATTGAATGTTAGAATATCTACTTTTGTTATCTCAGTTCAAACCAGAACTTGCAACTGGTAATAGTGAACAGCCAGTTCGGTAGACTTAATCTTTTTTTCTGCCTACCTGTCGATATGAATTGGTATCTTTTTTCTCAAAATTGAGCATAAAAATGTTTTTTTCGCAAAGCAAACACTCTTTTTAACTGATGTCAGAGAGTAATTAAGTAACGAAAAATGCACCAAGTTCTTCTATTCAGTCGAAATTAATCATAAAACATCTAGTATATTTTATAGACCCACTTTCATATAAAGTTATATTATTAAAGTAAAATTAAATAATCATTGTGTACTATAGTTATCATAGCGTTACATAAATATTTCCATATTGTTTAAAGGATAGGTTTTACACAAACATTAGAATAAAAAAAAGTGAATAAAATGTGCAAAGCAGATAAAATATACCAGTAATTGATAAAGTTCGTATTTTACGAACTTTTGATAGTAAAAAAGAACTTATACCATTATTGTACTGATTACGACGCAGAAATGACTAACTTAAATGTTAATTTGACTGTAAAAGAGTCAAAAACACGAAGAATGACTTATGGCACCATCCGATCACGCGTCTGACCATTTCTGCTGACATCAATAACGAAAAAAAATCTTATCGGTTCTAACTCTGGTTTAAACAACTTATTGGGAAAATTATATAGAAAAAGACTGTACGAATGAATGTAACAGATAGATTATTACAAATATCCTTCGCATATATAGTTCTATATTCATATAAATCACAAAATCAATATTTAAGATGATGGAAACGAGTTTTAGTAAGAAATTCATAAATTATTTCTTCTGATAAAAATATGTTTTTTTAAGTGAATAAATTAATATTCTATTTTATCTGAACGATAAAAAAATTGTAATTATATATTTACTAATTTATCGCTTTTTGTAAAGAAGATAAATATAATGACATATGATTATTTGTTCCATTGATCAATATTCACATTTCTGTCTTCATTACGATATTCTTTACATATGCAAATATCATTGGGTATAAAAGGAAACAAAAATTTTAATAATGAATCATCAAATTTGAAGATTTCTTGTTTTTCTAACCTTCATATTAATCATTTCGATAGGCAATATAGAGAAAAATATTGTGTCAAACATTTCATCATACAAGATTTAACATAGTTTTTCAATCTATTTAGATTTTCATAATTTTCTTAAAATGATGTGTAAACCCAAAAGTTCTTAATTATAACCTATAATAATTCTTTTCTTATTTCAAACTCTACCTATCTTGAGTTTCATTGACTCAAGTATTACCCTATTTGTTAAGGTTGAGTTAATTCTACATAAATTGGTATATTATCTCTAAGAAATTTAACATTTTTGTAAAGACAAATTCGATTCAATATAATAAATTATTGATTGACACAATAAACTTTCTCGCAAGTCTTCAAGTATGGAAAAGAGTTTCTCCTAAATCATTCCATGGAATGATATCATTAGCAAAACGGATGTATCGGCAAATGAACATAATTTATATGTTCCATAGCATGATATATTTCTACAAGCAATAACGAATTATTAATTAATTTTAATAACGAAAAAACAAATTTCATGTTTCGAAGTGATTATATTTTCAATATAACTAAAAACAATATAAATTTATCTAATATTATTTTAATAAAAAGTACCAATGAATTTATTCATTATACAATTCAGGATATTTTCATTTTTTTTTATGTCTAATATGGAAGAATACATTATAAATTCTTGATGATACAGTTTGAAAACATTGCATTTTTAATTCTTCAATAAACATTTTGATACTCTCTATATTTAAAGTAAAAAGTATATTGACTTAATAAGACGTATGTATGATAAACTCGACAGTCAAAAATGCAAATGAGAAAAACATTTCATAGTTATATTCGCTAAAAGATAAATATGTTGTCTAATGCTGATAAAGTATTAAAGCGGCAGTTAATTGTTTCGTTATGTCACCTATGATATGCTTGACGTCTATATATTTAAAGCAAGAAAAGAAAGTACTACAATTGTTAATTGCTTCATATCTTTACAATGTTAAGAAACATGTCTTTTTCGGTAAACGCATTTAATTCAAGTGCAAATTAATTTTTTCTAGTTCTTCAATTGTTCTACTTCTACTATTCAAGCGAATATAATCGAATTAGGAAGTCTGCTTACTGTTTATCTTTTTGAATTAAATGTCATGCAATCTGAACAAAAAAACATTTGTTTACTGTTATTATTTCATATAAAAAGCGACATTTTTTTCTGTAATTTTTCTTTTACTTAATAGAAAATGTTAGTGAGGTTAAAGCATGACTATAGCAGATAATTTCTTTTCCTTTTTTATTTTATTTTAGATCTAAAACTTCATAATCATCAACATGCAGCTTATTATCATTTTTTGTATCGTGTTTCTTCTTGTTTTACAGGTAAAGTTAAAACAATAATTAATATAATGATTTAATAATGTTAATAATTTTTAGCAAACAATAAATGTTGCATCATTCGTTTCGTTTCTACCAAGTTCTGATATTGAAACAGCACAACCGTATGCTGCTAGACGTTTACGAGCTCCACTTATGGGTCGTTCACTCGCAACAAAATTAAATGATAATGATGATTTCGATTCAACAAAAAATGATACAAATGATATAAATAGTAGTGATGAAAATGAATGGATGAAATTTAATAAAGAACGTTTACTTTTGGCATTATTAAATCAACCAAGATGGATTAATTCGAAAAGAAGAGGACCACTTTTTGGATAAACTATAAATGAAATATATTTATGCTGAGATATCGACATCAGAAACACCATCATTATATAATCAATATTGTTCTCTCTTCTTTTCTCAATGTCACTATCAGCAATAAATAAATTAACTTTAACATGAATAAAATAAAAACAAGCAAACATAAATATGTTATTGAAATCTAATGGGATAATGAAATAAATTTTAAATTAATTAGAAATTTTTTTAAAATTTTTGTTCTGAGTAAACCTTAATAAATATGACAATGTTCCATGGTTGTTTTTTTCTTTCAGAAAAGCTTTCAAAATCGTCTAAAATTATTATTTTTAATAAAATTTTCTATCATCCTTTCACTAGTTTTATGTTATTAACACAGTCAGAGAAGAATTGTTAGTATCGATCCACCTCTCAACACGAAAAATTTTCGCTATCAATTTGTAAGACCACTGGTTTTTAAACATCAGCAAAACATTCACTGAATATATTTGTGCTTGAACTAACTTATGTACCCAATCAATTAGTGTAAAATGTTTCTTTGTATCGAATTTTTGATAATTATGATTATTGTGAATCACAAATATTTTGCTCTAACTTGTGATTTATATGTAATAAAATACCTTTATTTTTTTATAGAAGTATCGCAAATAATGAGGCAAACTCCGAAGGATACTAGTGTGCACAGTCGAACAGACGATGAACCACAGGATAATTTAGCTATTATCAATATCAGTAGCTATCAGGATTTATTTTTTTGGGATTTATTGGGAATTTTCAATAAGATCCTAAACTTTTCGAGATAAATCCTACACAGTTCCTTAATGTATAAAAGTTGTGAGTGCGATTAAATATCATCATAATTAATAAATTCCGTAGTAAAAATAAGTCCTGGTGGGTCTCCCCATCAATATTAATAAAAAAAAAGTCTTTCAGGAATAAAATATTGAAAGTGTTATTGATGAATTTGCCATATCCAAACGTAAAATAAATGTTACGAATGGACCAAGTTAATTTTCTTGCTTCTTATGTATCTTTTTTTATTTTCTTCTTGTACAAGTTATATTCATATTATACTATGTATGGCATTGGGTCCTGATTTTTCTGAAATACTGATTTTCTAATTTTTTTCAAACCATTCTGATTCATTCTAAGTTTGGTGAATAATTCTGATGTTTTGAATTTTGAATGTTCTTGCATAAGAATGTCAGAAATTGAGAAAGGCAGAACTATTAACCGTAGCTAGGGTCAATGAAAGCAATTTTTAAAAAAAACTGGATATCCGAACCCAACCGATTTATTATGTATGCATAAAGATGAACAATAATAAATTGTCAAACATTCGTCATGATAGAAAAACGTGTGTTTAAAATGGCTAAAAAAATTTATCTCCCCTTGTTCCAAAAATTCTGGCTGTGTGTCTGACTGATATTGATACAATCAATCATTTATCAAAATAAATAATTAAGCCGTCATACAGATGACATTATAAATTTTAGTTGAAACAGGTAAGTATTCAGTTAAATTAGTGTTTATTTATAAACACAGAAAAATTTCTTTATTTATCAATGCTGAAAATTAATATCATATTAACAAGTACACTGAACGTTATAAGACAAAAAATTCTTTCATTTTTTCGATCGACTATAAGGTCAAACGGAAATTTTAAAAAGTATCAAAATGTTGTGCTCTTTCTAAATATAGATTCGAATTTCTTTTTTTTAGATTTCTATGTTAGAAATTATGAATAAATCTTTAAAAGGATTGTAAATAAAATTTGAACAGATTTCATTGCACAAGAGAAGTGTGCAGGATACAAGGAAAAACTAAACGCCAAATGCGCCAAAAGTAAGGGTAAAGATTTCTCTAGTGCACTTATTCTTGATAATTAGTTCTCTTCACGACACCTGTCAAAAATGAGAGTGTTAGTGACGGCTTAGTGGCATGTTCGCTATGTTTTATGTTGCTTTTCAGACTTACAAAATGAGCTTGATCATGCCTAAAACATTACTGTAAAATTCTGAACTAATAGCTCATTTTGTAGAATGTCGTCTCAACCTTTTATGTTGTGTAAAAACTTGATGATAGAAGATATTTAAAAAGAGATGTTGCTCTTATGAAGAACGTATATTACGTGGGTGCTAATTCAGAAAGTTTCAAAACGTGATGCAATCACGCAAAACGAAGTGGAATTAAGCTAAATTATATGTCATGATAACGGAAATAGGAAAATACTGAGTAAAGTTGCTGAGTAATACCATGAGATTAGTTTTAAACTCAATATAATTATATTCTCGACTTTTGCACATATTAGTGCAATTGTTTTCACTCAAACTTTATTTTCAGCTCTTTTCAAACATTCACAAATAATTCTTCACTTAGAACTCTCACAAAAATTTCGAATCGAGATTCGGAAAGAAGACAACATTTTGATGTTAAGTTAAAGTTCGAAAACTTCTGTTGGTCTCCGTCGTAATCGGATGAAAAATGAAGGAATATTTTGTTTCAACACTTACAGTTCATTCATTATCTTCCTTGGTTAGATTCAAATGATTGTCACAGATCGGTATGAACTTATTTTATATGATCGATTAATTTTAATAGACTATCAAGATCATTGTCAAGAAAATTCAACAATTAATTTATTGTTTGAATTTGCAGAAAAAAAATGAATTCATGATTGTTACTTTCCAAACAGTTGCTTCATGACTAGAGATGTGCGGAGTCGAAGATACGGTAAAGAGAAGTTGGCGAGATCCGAGACTGCGAGAAAAGAGTTTTTTTCAACCGAAACTAAATATTTTAGTCAAGTATTATACGATTTGAAACGAATTATTTTTATAAATTATATAGATCAGAACATACACCAAGAGAAATGATTGAAACAAGTGTTAATCGTTGACTGAACAAATCCAAAAGCGAGTATTGAAGATTTTTTTTAAATATGAGAAAAAAAATTTCTGGAGTGGTTGTCTCTAGGCTGGAACCGGAACCAACTTACATTTGCCGAAGTCATAATCAAGACCACTAGAAAATATGTTACTGGGATAAACATGACTTTGGTCCAAAAATTAAACGTCAAAAAGCAATGTATGAGCTTAATAAAAGAAAAAGAATTTTAGAGAAAAAAATGTTTTTGGCAAAGAGGATAGAATATTAGCAGTATCCACGATATAAAAATTATCAATCCAAAGAAAAATGAAGGAATTCAAGAAATTAAATAACTAGATTTCAATAGCTGAGGTATCTACATCTTCTAACCATCATGAAAATCAAAGAAATTAAGAAAATTTAGGAAATTAAGGAAGGAGAAATGAGTAGAAAACCATCGATGTAAAAATCAACACCTCCTGAAATTCCATGATAATTACAAGTTCTAGATATTGAAGCTATTTACCACTATTCGCTTCATTGAAATTCTTGATTTTTCTTGAGTCGCTCGAATTCCATAATACTTTTATATTATGGTCATGGAAGTTATTCATCACCATTTAATTCCTTGAATTGCGAGCTTTTGGGTCGTAGGTATATCTCTTACTTTGGACGTTATTCAGGTGAGTAGAAAATATGGTCTCGCACATCTCTATCTGCGACATTAACTCTCCAATGATACTTTATTAGAACTCTTAGTAATCAAAAATAAATTAAGAATTTACTGAAATTATATATAGATAAGGTTCTAACTTTCGTGTAGCTACGATCTGAGAAGCAACATTCATGCTATTGTTACAAAAGAAATAGATCAATGATATCTATTAAGAAGATTAATTTGTATTTATTGATTTTTTTTTATAAACAATACAATATTTATGAATTAAAATGTAAAAATAAATAAAAATTTTCCATTGTATTGCAATGTTTTTATAATTATATTGCGAACTAATTGATCTGAATAAATAAGTAGTATTACATCAGCTAAAAGAGAAATTGCTTGTAAAACTTGAAAAATAGTTGACAAAACTGGAGGCAAATAAAGTTCATTGTTAACAAATACTCGTTCGATAAAAAATGGTGCCGCACCAATAATATATATACAAAATGTTAATAACATTGTTTTAAATAAATACATCTCTCGTTTACCAAGTTGATTTATATTGTTGCCAGTTAAATTATGTATACGTTTAGTCGATAATCGTACATATCGGATTGTTGCAATATTACATACAGTTACAATAGTAATTGGTAGAACTATTATAGAGAAACAGGCATATATTTCAAGAAATTTTTCACCATCATGAACTAAGCATGCAGTATCATCAAAGAATAAGTAAGGAAATGTAGCTAGTAATCCTACAAGCCAACCTACAATGATATTTCCTAATATCCAACGGCTCGATCGAAATAATGGATTATGAAGATATTGAATTGACAATAGACGACAAAATGAAGCAATACAATGTGCATACATCACGTGATGTGCACTCATATGCATAAAAAAAGCTTTTAAACGGCATGATACTTTTATATCCGGTGAATTATTTAAAAACATAATAATTGATAACAAATGTTCAAATGAAAATAATATACTTGAGACAGATGTATTAATTGTTAACCAAGTAAATTTATTGGATCGAAGGATTTTCCGACTTAAAACTAGTATTATATAAACAAAAGCAAAAATAATAATGAGTATAAAAAGAGGTATTTGAATTATATCGGCAGTTTCACTTCGAAATTGTGTTCTACTGTCCAAAGTATTATTAAAATTATTTATTGACATTTGAAATTTGTCTATTGACAAAGTGTTATCAAGTTTATTTGATACATTGTGCATATTTATAGAAAATTGTTCTGTCGGCATCGTCACATATGCATTCGATACCATTTCACATTTAGTTTCTTCATTAACCTAGAGGAATTTCTTCTATTGCATTGATGAATATCTACTAAACATGGTAACAATACGACAAGTAAACTTATTGTCTTTTCAAAAACTACAATAAAAAATATGATTTCATAAACAATTGAGTCGACATTTTTTTGGAAAAACTACTTACGAATATAAAAATTTATGAAGTAATATTAAATCCCACAGTCGGGATATTAGAGACTACTCTCTTCAGTCAAATTATGCCGGCTAATATTATATATTACATCCTAGAATAGAGTGACAAGAAAAAGGATTAATACATGTCATATTTTCTCTTCTGGCACAAAGAAAAAAGTTCCATCGTATACTAACCTTACAGAAATTCTATTCACAGGTTTTTTTTTCTTGAAAAATAGCTGATAAAATCAACAATGAAGTTTAATAATTCATAAAAGTAGAAAAATAATATGCAAGCATTTTTATTACTGTTGTTTCCACTTATAAATGCATATCTGACTTTTTTCTCGAAAATTTTTTTCAATATTACAGTATTGTGTTCTCTTAACTAATTTTTTTATTCATTACATGTGTCAAAGTTGTTTTAACGTTGATTTTTCAATTAGTATAAAAGGCTGCATTTTTGTTAATAAGACATACAAACTTCGCTGATGAATTTTAAATGAATTAAAATAATTTAACGGGTGGCCCAGATTAAATGGACCTCTCAGTATTTTGACTATAACTTTTTTTCTTTTTGGTCTTTGGAGCTAATTGTTTTTCCAAAAGATGCGCCGTCAAATTCTCTGTAAAATCATAATCAAACTTATTTGTGTAGAAAGTTAAGGAAAAAAATTAAACGAAGATTATCCGACACATTAAAAGTAC